TTCAGTTCTCCTTGCTTTCAACATATTGTTAAACAGCATTCAACCAGTCCTCTCAGGCAAGTTCTCCAATTCATTTAAAATTTGCAGCAGTCTCCGTCACAATCCATATTCGTTAAAAATAATTTTTTTTTTCACTTAAAAAATCATAATAAATCTCAATCATTGAAAAATGAGAGATAAATATTTGAGATTTTTATGAAATTTTTTATAAGTGTAGTGTATAAAACTTTTATATAAGCGAATTTCTCCTTATTCAAATATATATTCTATTGGGCTATGAACTATTGTAAATTCTGTTATTTGAGATTTTATGCACTTAAAACTAGTAGTTTAGTGCTCGAGGTAAAAACTGATATAATGCTGACTTGAAATTTACTAAAATTTAAACCTTAAAGTTTGAATTGATAAACATAGGTTACTATGTGTTGGACTGATGAACGGAAATGATTTTATAATTTGTTTGTTGTTGAGGTATCACTCGTACCTCTTTTAATGAAAGTCTTTCTTCTGATAAAAAAAAAAAAAAAATTGTTCGTTTCAGGGGTGGCAATAGGGGCTGGAAAGCAAACAACAGTCGCTATAATAAATATAGGGTGCTATTATGTCATAGGGATACCTCTGGGAGTTGTGCTGGGATGTGTGGTCAATCTTCAAGTTAAGGTAAGTGTTGGGATTAGGCCCAACGCCCTCTTAGAGCCACATGCAGCAAGCCCAATTGCGCACCCACAGGCCCAAGAGGAGGAGACATACCCACGTGGGCAACACCACGTGGGCCAATGAGAGACTTACATGTGCTGATACATGTCAGCACTTGGGGCTATAAATACCCCCCAACCACCTCCGAAGGAGGTAATTAATCTCTACGCTTCTCTCTCTGCAATTACTCCTTGAGAGCATCTCTCTCTAGAATATCGAGTATTGCTGACTTGAGCGTTGGAGTGTTTTCCCCGAGGAAACATCCTCGGGATTTTCAGGTGTAGAAGCAGCTGAAGACTTCAGCAGTGTTGGATTGTGAAGCTGCCGAAACAGTAAGTAACTGGGAAGGGAAAGATAGACTTCTCTCTGCTTCTACTCTGTTTTTGTTATGCAATATTTAGAGCTTCTTCTTTTCAAAGAAAAAAAAAAAGAAGGGAAAAGAAACAGCATTCAACATTATGTTTTACAGGGTCCGTGGGGTGGGATGGGATGCTTGCTGGAGTGGCAATGCAAACCATTGTTCTTTCTTTACTTGTATGCAAGACCAATTGGGATAACCAGGTAAGCACGGTGAATATGGCATTAATTTGGGTAAGCCAAATTCTAGAGAAGGGTCGAACTAAATTTATTTAAAAGTGAGTAATTTTAAAAAAGTGACTTAATTTTAGGGTTAAAGATACAAAATTTAGACATGATTGGGGGCAATTGAAAAAATGTATGAGTTTCTATCTCATAAGTAGGAGTCCAAAAATCTAAAATAACTATGTATTGTGCTTATTTGAAATATAATTTTTGATGAAAAAGACTTATTTGGAATATTGGTTTATCTTTAATGGTAGATGGAATCTACTTTATTTAAAATAATTTCTTTGATATTACAAGTAAGGAAGGCATCTAAACGTTTAAACAAATAGCTTTTGAATTCGAAAGAGGAAAGTAATGAGAGCCCATCTCATGCTTAAAGATAAACATGAGCATAATTTTTGTAAGCTTTTAACTTTCATTTTTGAAACTCAATTCAATTTTTAGGAATTTTTTTAGCATAATTTTCAGTTTAAAACTAGGCGGGCTTATTTGACTTGAAAATTTTTTTGGGGATTTAATTTTCATAATTGAATAATTACTTTTTCAGCTAATTTTGTAATTTCATTAATTTCAGTGCTAAGGGCAGCCGCCCTTCATCATCTGATTACGAGAGGTCTTCGATTACAATGGAAAGCCATCCTTCCAAAGGCAATGCAAGTGGACGCATAAACAAATGGTTTGTAACTAATCAATCGAGAGAAAAAAGTGGATAGCTTTTTGCATTCAAGATAAAGTTGAAACATATATATTGGATTTGTTCTAACTCCCTTTTGCCCATTGAAAAAAAAAAAGGCATTTCTTTTTATTTTTTTTTATTTTGGGTTTTACGATAAGACACAATCTTCTCTTATCTTTTAAAATACTTTATTTGTATGTCATGTAACTCAAATTTATTAAAATTTTTTATTTTTACCAAAATAAAATTACTATTATTTTATTTAAATTATTAGCCAAGCATTCTCTTATTTAAGTGTCTCATTGCTGTATATGGATATCATACCTGAACTAATTTCATGCATCCAAAATTTTTTGTAAAATCAGTCTGTCTGAGAATTTTTTTTCTTTGCAAAAGGTAGAAGATATATTGATATAAATAAAGGAAATTGCATTAAGTGAAGACTAAACTCAAAGGAAGCCTCACAGCTCCCTGCCTAAAGAGTCAAAATAAGAGAGCATCAATAAAAAATCTCAACCAGAAATTAAAACAAGAAAGCTTCAGCTTTGAAACCCAGAGAAAGACATCTCAAAT